GGCCTGTAAGGTTTCTGTTGAGAAGTCTGATGATAGCCTGATGGGTTTTCCTTTGTAGGGGACCTTTTTCCTTTCTCTAGCTGCCTTTGAAACTCTGTCCTTGTCCTTGATTTTTGCCATTTAAATTATTATGTCTTGGTGTTGTCCTCCTTGGGTCCCTTCTGTTGGGAGTTCTGTGTACTTCTGTGGTCTGAACGATTATTTCCTCCCCCAGTTTGGGGAAGTTTTCAGCAATTATTTCTTCAAAGACACTTTTATCCCCTTTTCTCTCTCTTCTTCTGATACCCCTATAATGTGGATATTGTTCCTTTTGGATTGGTCACACAGTTCTCTTAATATTCTTTCATTCCTGGAGATCCTTTCATCTCTCTCTGCATCAGCTTCTCTGTGTTCCTGTTCTCTGATTTCTATTCCATCAATGGCCGCTTGCATCTTATCCATTCTGCTTATAAATCCTTCCAGAGATTGTTTCATTTTGTAATCTCCTTTCAGACTTCATCCTTTAGCTCTTGCATATTTCTCTGAAGATCCATCAGCATGGTTATGACCTTTATTTTGAATTCTTTTTCAGGGAGATTGGTTAGGTCTATCTCCCAAGATTCCTTCTCAGGGGAGGATGTCCGGGTTAGTCTGGTCTGTATCAAATTCTTCTGCCTTTTCATGGCGATAGAGGTGGGTGTGGGGAGCTGGCGCATGTGTTGCCTGGGAGAACATCCCTTCTTGCTAGTTTGGGGCCTTCCTCTCCTGGGAGAATGGTGACCCCTATTGGCTTGTGCTGGGCAGCTGAATGCAGATGGGGTCTCTGATTCTTGCCTGGCCACTGTGGAGTTAAGCTCTGCAGTTGCTGTGGGCGTGGCTGGCCTCAGGCTGCTGCTCCACTATGGCAGAGCGGTGTCAGAGGGGAAACAGGCGGGAGGCTGTTTATCTCCATGATGGGCCTCAGAGCTGTGCTGCCACCAAGGGGGTTAGGGCACCCAGAGTTCTCCAGGATTCCCAGCTGTTGGGATAAGTGTTGGGATGTTTCCATCCAGCTTTGGGGTCCCTGTCCCTTCAAGTCTTTCAAAAAGCACTTGCTTTTCTTTGTCCCAGGGGTGCCAGCTGCGGGGACCCACTCGCAGGTTTTACTGACCCATTTTCCTAGTATCCAGCACCCCATGCACTGTGTGTCTGCACTCCAGTGTGGATGGCTAGGGCTGGGTGTTTAGCAGTCCTGGGCTCCCTCTCCCTCCCCACTCCGACTCCTTTCCTCCCACCGGGAGCTGGGGTGAGGGGCGCTCGGGTCCCAACTGGCTGCAGCTTGCATCGTACCACCTTCATGAGGTGCAGGTGTAGATATGTAGCCTGGCTGTTATCCTGTATCTTCTGGTCTCTCTTTTAGGGATAGTTGTATTTGTTGTATTTTCAAAAATATATATGGTTTTGGGAGGAGATTTCTGCTGCTCTACTCACACTGCCATCTTGGCTCCACCCCAGAATTTTCTTAATTGAGAGACCACCTTTCAGGCCTAGTGGAACTCTTGGGAAGGAGAGAGATTGGGGCGACCATTGTATGCTGAAACTGAAGATTATCTCAACATTCCTCAATATAGATTATTCCACCTTCACTTTGACACCATGAAATAGGAAGTTGAGTGTACACACATACAGAGTTGTATTTGTCTTGTTTTTAACAATACGTAGGTGCCTTCTAAGGCTTTGTCTACATGTTGTTAATTACTTTTCAGAATTTTTTATTTTGATAATCAGTTTCTGTATGTGCCACATAACTATTAAATAGCTAATGCCACTAGATCACCCACTTCATTATCCAGTGTTTCCATTATAAAAGCCATATGCATACCATTTGTTATTTATTGCCCTCATTCAAGAGTAATACCCTATGGTAAACATATTCCTTTAAATCATTACAGTTGGAATTCAAATGATGATTTGTGATAGGTAAAGATAAAGCTGTCTTAATGAGCACTCTATTTGAAAATGGAACTTGACCAAGCATTGGGCATTTATCTAGCCAGGATTTAGCCTACTTCCATTTACACATATTTGCGTATTGGAGTCAAGAGAAATCATTCAGGCCTATCACAGAATTGCCAACTGCTGGTTCCTTAACCTAGATCAAGCCTAACAAAATTCTGTGGGTAATCTGGCTTGTAAGGAAGGCACATAAATGGTCAGTTAAAAATGTGCTTAAGGAGTAGAACTTCCTTGCTTTTGAATGTAACATAATAGCTTTGAATTCGGATGGCATACAGAGAAACATGTCTGATGGGCTGATGTTCCTAAAGAAAGCCTAACTTTTTCACACTGCAGTTCCTGGCCTTTAAATACCAGAGTCAAATAGGCTCTGTGCCAGACTCTTTTTTTCTTCCTGTACACTATATTCTCTCCATAGGTGATCTCATTCACTCTTGTCTTCGAATGCTGTATATGCTAATGGTTATAAATTCATATCACTTGGCCAGGTCTCTTTTCTAAGCTCTAAAGGTCTATATTTAGTACCTTATTCTGTACCTCCTCTTGGATGCATGACAGTCACCCCTGACTTTGTGTCCACCACATTACCTTCAACCCCACACTTAGAATCGTCACAGTCCCAGAATGCCGGAAGACATCACTCCTTTTCAGTTTCCTAATATGTATCATCTATCAGCAAGTCCTGCTGACACTTTCAGTATAAAATACCTTGAGTCTGTTCACTTCTATCCATCTCCATTGACTTGAACCTAGTATAATCCATCAGTTTTCCACCTGCCCATCTAGTTTAACTTCATCCACTTTTGTCCTTAATTCATTCAGTCAGGGTGATCTCTTAAAAATGCTACTATGATCACAATTTTCCACTGCTTAAAACCCTTTCTGCCTGCTACAATAGGGATGAACCTCCTAGACATTTTGCTAAGCGAAATAAGCCAGACACAAAGGACAAATATTGTATGATCCATTTACATGAGAATAGAACAGTCAAATTTAAAGAGACAAAGTAGAATAGTGGTTTCCAAGGACCAAGAGAAGGGAAGGAGGAGTGCGGGTTGTTTAACAGGTACAGAGTTTAAGTTTAAGATGACAAAGTTCTGGAGATAGTGGTGTAAATGTACTTAATGCCACTGAACATACACTTAAAAATGGTTAAGGTGGTAATTTTCATGTTATGTATATTTACCCCAATAAAAAAAGAAAAAAAACCTCTGATTGCTCATTGCTGATAAAGATTATAATGCTTGACAAGGTCTAGAGGCCCTGATGTGATCACAGCGTTCACTCTACCGCTCAGTTTTATGCTCCAGTTACACTAGCTGCCTTTTAAATCCTTGACACTAAACTTCCTTCTTCAAACCTGCTCCCTAATGCTCCCTCTCCTGGAAGGAAATGCTCTTCTTCCTTTGTCACCTGGCTAACTACTACTCTATTCTCCCAGTCCTCAGCTTATACGTCACTTCCTCCAGGATATTTTCCTGGTAACTACTCATAAGAAATATAAATGTCTGCCACCCAAGCAGGGTGGTGGAGTTTTGAAGACAGTAAGTTGTTATAGAAAAAAAATAATTTTCTTGCACAGATTATGGTGAGATATGCACAAATTCTCTAACATGTTTTATGTCCATTTTAGAGTAAAGAAATGTATGCCCACAGATATTAACCAACCTTCCCCAGGTCACGTATCTTGTACATAGATTCACTAAAATGATACATTTCTTCAGCTGAGGAGACAATCACTCTCAGCAAATCAAGGGAGATACTAAACTGAAAGGAAAGACTCAAAATTTGTACTAATAATGGAGACTCTTATTGACTATATCCTCCATAAAATTTTCCAGGCCATCTCTGTTCAACTGTGTGAATAATTGGCTTATTTTGGTGGTAATCATACTCAGCCTTACCTTATATTTGTATCTGCATTTATCAAGGCCTCCCTGTACATTTGCTAGTTGTCAAAGCTGGTGACATTGCAGGCAAATCATGGTAAGAGCCACACGTGGTTTGGGAGCCACACCCACCTAAAATGGCCTCCAAGATGGACTTATCTCCTGACCTTGGCAAGATATTTTATTTTCTGAATCTCAGTTTTGTAAGCTCAAAATAGGGAAAAATAAAACCTGTGCTTTAGCAAGGAATAGGAACATTATATTCATTAAACCTTAGTTATGAGTAAACCCATCCAAGCCAATGGAAGTAAAGTGTGTGGGTCATCAGTAAACATAGGAAAAGTAACCTGTGGAATTAGACCTTTGGGGTTGATTTCTTTTTCTAACACAAATACCCTAATATTTGAAGAGAGAAAGAATAAGGAGTCACGAGACCTAGCTAAGATTGGCACGTCTGTCCCTCAGAACAGGTTTCCAGAAAGTTATTTACAGGTGATCCCCTAGCAAACCACAGGGATTCCTTACACTCTATTTTTCACCCTGCCTCAATGCCCCCTTGCCCTATGAGCTGGTCCCTACCATGCTGCCCTTCCCTGTGGGGGAGGGGTTGCGGATTTCATTTCACCGGGAGGGTTGGGTTTCTGCCTGGGAAGGTAAATCCGAGAGGCTCCACCCTTTTCACCGGAGGCCGGAGGTGGGCGCTCCCGTTTCTTCTCCCTCCGGGACCTGCGAGGAGGTGGACCGGCGGCGGAGGGAGGGTCCGGCCCCTGGCCCTTTAAGGAGGAGGGCCGAGCGCGGCCGGGAGAGCCGGCGTGGCCCCTACCCCGCCCGCGCCCTCAGCCCAGAGCAGCTGCGACTGCAGCTCCGGCCGCCCCTGGATTAGCAGCGTCCGCTCCGACGCCAAGAAGCAGGTCGCCACCATGGTGAAGATTGTGACTGTGAAGACCCAGGCGTACCCGGACCAGAAGCCAGGCACGAGCGGGCTGCGGAAGCGGGTAAAGGTGTTTGAGAGCAGCGCCAACTACGCCGAGAATTTCATCCAGAGTATCATCTCCACCGTGGAGCCGGCGCAGCGCCAGGAGGCCACCCTGGTGGTGGGCGGGGACGGCAGGTTCTACATGAAGGAGGCCGTCCAGCTCATCGCCCGCATCGCCGCCGCTAACGGGGTAAGGGACGCCCCGGCTCCTGGGCGGCGCGGGGTCCTCTCCCGCCACCTCCCGCCTCGCTCTGGCCGGGCCACTTCCGTGCGCGCCCGCCGCAGTCTCCACCCCCGGCTCCTCTGCCCTCGCCCTTCCCAGTCCCGGGGCCCGGCGGAGGCTGCCTCGCGCAGTAAGGGGCCACGGGGCTCAGCAGCGCTGCTCTCCCGACTCCTGCGGGGCGGTGGAGCAGGCTTGACCTTGGGAGGCCCTCCCCTCCGCCTCCTGTCCCTCCCCTCCCCTCCCCTCCCCTCCTCTCCCCTCCCCTCCCGTGCTTGTCAGAGGCCTCTGACATTTCCACGAACCCTTCCTGCCTCCGAAGATACAGTTACAGCGCAGAGTGCAGTCGCCTTAAGGGTGAAAGGTGAGGCAGCCGCCGCCTGGCTCGGAACCCCGCCGCTTCCGGCCCAGCTGCCTGCTATTCTCGTCGGGCACTGGCGCTTCCCGCTGGCTGGGAGCCGGACCCGCAGGGGCAGGGTGGCGGGGACACCCGCCCCCTGCGTCAGGCCCACAGCTCTGTGGAGGCGGTTGTCAAGCTCTCTCCCCACCACCCCTTAGTGTGCTCTGGCATGCAGCTCCTGCCCTTGCGCGGCCTGGTTGCTGGGGCACAGGCGTTTTGAAAGGTCTAGTCTTTGCCTGGTGGTGCTTCTGGATCTGTTCCACCGTGGGGCTGGAGCTGAATTTTCATTAGAACAGAAACCGCAGGCCCAAGGGCGCTCTTTTGCAAGCAGTCGTGGCAGGCCGGGGAATTAATGCAACGCCTTGGTTCCGTCCCCCTCCAGCTAAGGAACATTAACTGACCTAATGGGCAGGCACACTTGGATAAGTGTAACTTTGAAATAGATTTTTCAGTAAGCCTAATATACGAAAAGCTGGGTTTTATAAAATAGGTAAATTGGGGCTGATCACTCACTTTTATAGAATGTTTTCTAACGAGGTTTTCTTTCTGTATTTAAAATGAGATTTGACTTATAACCAACTCTTCTAGAACTCATTCCCTTTAGTAATACTTCTATTCATTTTAGTAGTCCTTTATTTTCCTTATTTTGTGAATATACTGAGTGTGATTTTGCCAGGCACCATGAAAAGCACTTCACTTGCGGTGTCTCATTTATCCTCCTGCAGCCTTGTGAGGTAGATGCTATTACAGGTATCCCCAAGTTGCCAACAAGAAAACTGACGCAGAGGCAGGTTAAGCAGAACCCGTAATGGCAGCACTGAGAATTTAGTGCCAGCTTGGTAGTTCCAACAACTTGAACAGCTTCTGGGAGTGAGGGGACTCTTGAATCTAAGGATGACACCAAAATAGTAGTCACCAAAATCCATACAGGGTCCAGTCTACATCTGCCTCCCTGGGGCAAACGTATATAAGCATCAATGAGAGGAGATTGTCTGGATTTGTTTTCTCTATGCTCCTGAGTTTTCAGATAACCACAAATTTCCTTGAAAGAGCAAATAAGACAATAGTTGATACCTTCGCTTAAATCCTTGTTCTCCCTTAAATCTGTTATCACCTGTGCTGAATTTGCATGTCATTTATTTTTTCAACAAAATCTGAGCCTATACCATTTACAGAGAAATGTGTGGAATAAAAAACACACAAGACATCCTGGGAATTTTAGGGGTCCAGATGGAAAGTTGCCCATTTGGGAAATGTGGGATGGGAAGAAAAAAAATTAGTTAAGATTAAAACTTAAAACACATCACCGTTTAGCTCCTGCCCTATTGCTTTCCTCTCTTTAAGTCAATCTTTGTAAAAGTCTGTGTTCACCATCGCAGATTTCTCACCCCTAAAATTCACCTCACTGCAGTCTGGCTTCTCCTTCCCCCACCCCTCCACTAAAATTGCTCTTGCCAAGGTTACTAATGACTTTCTGGTTGCTAAATCCATTGAACACAGTTTAGGCCTTATTTGACCTTTCTGTTACATTTGACTGCTAATTTTGCACTCTTTTAAAGTTCTCATTCCTTTGCCTTGATCACTCTCCTGATTCTACTCACACCTTTTGAAAGTTCTCTCCTGGACCACTTGCCCTCTCCACACCCTAGCTATTCCCTAAATTTCTGTCCTTAGCTGTCTGCTCTCTGATTTTGTTCTCAATCTCTACTCACCAGATATTTAAATGTGTTACTCTGTCTCTTCTGGTGTAGTTCAATTCAGATAGCATCTTCAGAGAGCTTTTCCCAACAACCCTATTCTGCTCTCCTCCCCCTATGAAGTGCTCTTTCCCATAGATACTTCTAGAATAGATTAATCAAATCCCAGTGAAGTTATCTGTTTGTAGGTGAAACTCCTCCACTAGAGAGTAAGCTTCTTTATGGGGTCTGTATTTGATCTCTATCTGCAGTGCCTAGTACAATGTAGCATTCATTCATTGAGTCCTTGTTCAGTTGTCCTGAATTGTAAATTGTGAAAGGTGTGGAATAAGTTTTCAATTAAGGGCATTTCAGCAATTACAGCCAGTGTATAATTGGTGACCAATAAACTTGTTCTCATCAAACGTTTATTATGCGCTTACTTCGTATCAGGTGTCTTTTGCTAAGTACTTGAGATACAAAATATTCTTCCCCTTAGGAAGTAAATAGTCTAGAAGGGCAGGTAGACAAGAACAAGCAGAAAGCACAGAGTATGAGGTGTTGGTAGTGGTATGTGCCAGGTACTGCCAGGGCAAGAACACTGAGGGCTGTACAGGTCTCCCCAACTTGTTAAAACTTCATGTCACCCCACTTTGCTTTTATGAAAAAACCTACGTTAGTACCTGTTTTCACAAACCAAAAGAAATCCAAAGTGGATTTTTTTTCCAGAGAGAAGCTAAAAGTGAAAATAGTGTCCAGCATTCCCTTTGCAGCAAGCCAGTATAGAGGCAGTGCTCACCTTGAGCGTCTCCACACCCTAGCTATTCCCTAAATTTCTGTCCTTAGCTGTCTGCTCTCTGATTTTGTTCTCAATCTCTACTCACCAGATATTTAAATGTGTTACTCTGTCTCTTCTGGTGTAGTTCAATTCAGATAGCATCTTCAGAGAGCTTTTCCCAACAACCCTATTCTGCTCTCCTCCCCCTATGAAGTGCTCTTTCCCATAGATACTTCTAGAATAGATTAATCAAATCCCAGTGAAGTTATCTGTTTGTAGGTGAAACTCCTCCACTAGAGAGTAAGCTTCTTTATGGGGTCTGTATTTGATCTCTATCTGCAGTGCCTAGTACAATGTAGCATTCATTCATTGAGTCCTTGTTCAGTTGTCCTGAATTGTAAATTGTGAAAGGTGTGGAATAAGTTTTCAATTAAGGGCATTTCAGCAATTACAGCCAGTGTATAATTGGTGACCAATAAACTTGTTCTCATCAAACGTTTATTATGCGCTTACTTCGTATCAGGTGTCTTTTGCTAAGTACTTGAGATACAAAATATTCTTCCCCTTAGGAAGTAAATAGTCTAGAAGGGCAGGTAGACAAGAACAAGCAGAAAGCACAGAGTATGAGGTGTTGGTAGTGGTATGTGCCAGGTACTGCCAGGGCAAGAACACTGAGGGCTGTACAGGTCTCCCCAACTTGTTAAAACTTCATGTCACCCCACTTTGCTTTTATGAAAAAACCTACGTTAGTACCTGTTTTCACAAACCAAAAGAAATCCAAAGTGGATTTTTTTTCCAGAGAGAAGCTAAAAGTGAAAATAGTGTCCAGCATTCCCTTTGCAGCAAGCCAGTATAGAGGCAGTGCTCACCTTGAGCGGCGAGAGAGGCCCTGCCACGCACCTTCCCAGGGATCTAAGCTCAGCACCTCAGCATCAGGCCCCAGAGCTTCCAACTGTGTCTGTGCTTTACCTTGATTTACTTTGTTCATCTGTTAGCAAAATGTGTCCTGAGGTATCAGAAAAGCCTAAGGTTATTTTTTGGTCTGGATATGCTCAAAAAATTATCTGTGTAAATTAATGGTAATTGCTTCTTTGCTTTATTCCATTTTGGCTTAGGGATGGTGTCATAGGAACACTTACTTTTGGATAGCCGGGCAAACCTAGGCTTGGGAAAGGAAGCTGAAGTGAGGATGGCGTCACAGAGAGGTGGTAGCTGAATCGAGGCTTAAAGGGTGAAGTTGGAGTTGCTAAGGTAGTTTTGTCAGGGGAGGAATTCTAGGCAGAAAGAATAAAAATCATAGGAGTTGGGGACTGTTCTCTTGGGTAAATTGTTTAATTTCTGAAGTTTTCCCACCTTGTCTGGAAAGGTCGGAAATAATAATTCATACTGAGAGAGGCTATTGTGAGGATTAAGCGAAACAACATATTTTAAACTACCCTGCAGTCCTTTCTCACCAGGAAGCTGTGTGAATGACACTTGTGGGGAAACCTTGGGATGGGCCTGGGGCAGAACTTTGTGTTATCAATGTTCTGCTGATACTGGGACTGAAAGTTTATCAGGCCCAATCCTGTGCAGATATTAACACCTCCCCACCCCCATAGATATTAGCATTGTGCCCCACATTCCTCTAGCCATTGATGGCTCCAACTAATATAGGGGGGTGAAGAACCCAATTGATGCAGCTGGCAAAAACCTAACTGAGATAAGCCCAACTGAAAAAGGAATATATTGGCCCCTGTTACTGAAAAGTCTAAGAGATGCCTGATGCAGACAACTTAGTTCAAACCTTTCCTGGTCCCTCAAAATCACTCTTGGTCCCACTGATTCAGAAGTGACTAGTAGTAGGTATTGGGGAGAGTTCAAACCCACAAGTAAAATAATGTTTGGATATTTTGAAGAATAGTTTATCTTCAGCAAAATAAATACCTTTGGGAACCTGTGAATAAGCAGATTTTCTTTCATCAATTCACAGGGGTTCCTATGTCATGGATACTTTTGTTAAATCTATGGGCCCTTTCTCAGAATAATTTTATTTTTAAATACATTTTAAAAATGAAGGATTACAATGGAAATAAAAGTTACATTAAATACAACTATCAAAGTATTAATTGTATTT